GACTCACTGAACGTCATCCAGATCATTTGTCTTAGTTTACTTGCATATTTCTCGAACATAGCGTCGAAACGGTCGTCTAAATTCTTCGATAATGTGTGATTATACCCAGGTACATATCTTATATCAGGCGCCTGAATTACACCCGTGGCATATTCTAACTCGAGCCTTTACCAGGTAGAATATTGTTGCCAGCATTTTCGCTTTGTGGTACAGAGATGGTGTTCGGTATATGAGAGAACAAACAAGGTCTGCGCACCGAACGTGACGCATTTGGAAATAAGGTAGCGTTTCTTTAGCCTTGCAGCACGCTTACTTACATGTTGCTTACCCTGCTTCATTTTCATAAACCGCTTGACCGGTCACTGACAGATTTCTGACCAGGCATGATGAATTATGCTGTAAGCTCCCCTCATCCTCTCACTTGCAGATTTTTGCAAGGATCCTCCCGCAGATATCGACATTTACAAGACACCCCACCTTCGTACTCTGGAACATAACGAGACAACGCAACTCGCATATCAATCTTCCGGCTTGAGAACCCTTACCCCCATGGAGGGGAAATGGGGTGGGAGAGGAGCATTTTACTTTTTTTTATTACTTTTTTTATTACTAAACCTTAGGACATACCTACTAACAGCCTCTACTATGTAGCTGATTGCCGGCCGCGATCCCCACCACCATGGGAGCATATGATTAGGAGAAGCAAGAGGTCCACACCATACATCTAAACCAAATTCGACAAAAGAGTTAAACGGAATCTCAAGGAAATAACAGGAGTTGAAATGCTTTGGATTATTCCAAGGATGTAAATCATCAGCATAGTGCCGGTTCACTTTGTGCTCGGTCATGCTGCACGTTTTTCAATTATGAGCATCTTTCGAGGAGTGAGCACATCAGTGGAGCCAAAATAGGATCTGGCACGCTTGGAGTCTGGTGTTTTAGGTAGGATTTATGGTTATGCGGCGTTATGTTGGCGACTTGGTTCTGGAAACCCGAGGGTAGAGTCTTCAAGTGTGGTAAAGAAATTTTTTTTTTACCTTGGATAGGAAGGACATCATAAGGCGGTAAAGCACATGGTCAACCTTGGAGAAAGGCCGAATGTTTTCCGTAGACGGATACAAGTGATCACAATACACAAAGTCCGAATTGAATCTCATTCACTAGGTTCTGCTATTAAGAAATGCCACCCACTTACGCCAAGAGCCATCTTCCGGATCCCGAAGACTCCAAGTCATACATACCACGAAAACCATTGGCGTCTTGACAAGCCAGGCTTCGGTAATATAATTAGCTAGAATTAAGGCGGCAGGTATAGTTATGTGCTAGTTCGTACGAAGAACATCTCTATTAAGAATAAGCCAACAGCATCGAGTACAGCATCTGGTAAGCAGGCAGTGCGAATCATATAGTTACACGACCAGGGCTCTTGAGATGACTAAATTCCGATAAGACGTGGATGCGTTTTTTTTTTATACTTTAACTATATGAAAAACATACTCCGTTCGACGGTTTCCCACGCGGACATTTATCTATGAAAGCTCTACGTGCTTCGTTCTTTTGTATATAGAACACATAAGCGGGACAGTGCAAGAATAATGATAACATATCAAAAACATCACTTGTTGAGCTTCGTCAACTGCCGTCGCACACTTATAAGACGTGCTAGCTTCTAAGAAGCAAACATACTCAAATGAAAACTATTATGCGGCCACGTTATCAGAGGTTGTCTATGCCGTCTAAGTAGGGTAGTGTGTTTAATCGAGCCGCATTCGTCTGCGGATATTGCACTTCAACCTATGCATATTCCCGCTCCGTAAAAGCTTTGTGTTGGTATTGGGTACCCATACACGGCCCCTAAAAGGATCGTATTCGCTAACAAGGTATTATTGCTTTGGTATTCTCATGTAACTATCAGATAAGAACAAGGCTATAAAAAAGACCCAGGAGAGATTACAAAGCATTCAACCAGATTCTCCTATGTAAGAGGAGCTGTCCCGGTTTTGGCCGTTGCGGCAACTATGTATATGTAGAAGTGACCGATAATCCTGATCGACAACCTTGGTGGCAGGCCGTTATGCACTAACTCAGTACTGTGCATTAGTAGAGATACGCTTGCTCACTCTGTCACTCCAGTCTTTCGCTACATATGGTTGTTTAACGTCAGACGGATGAATGCGACCTCGCGTGCATCATATGTAGGTCACGCAACTTCGCAGGATCTTACCTGGCTTATCGGCTTTTAGGATTGTTCATTTACAAAATGCCCTTTTGGTAATAGCCTAGGTACCTACGTAACCTGGGTTATCAGTGTATTTCCCAATGGAGTATACGGAGTATGTATTTATGATATTAGGTACCCCTTTACGGTGCTATAGACTATATAGTCTTTAGATCTAGACCTAAATTATATGTTGTTCACCGTCGTTATCGGGGCAAGGGAATTCCCCATCCCGCATTGTCTTCCGGTCTTCTTCGTTTAACGCCGACCTCTGTCAGAGTCGCTAATGTAACCTACCTGATTAGGTGCGATGATAGGCCGTTGCGGTCGGGAATCCTACAAAGTAGTCTTTAACACCGATGAATTATTTTTTGACGTATTATGTCCAGGCAGTTAGTATACCTATTTGGATGCCGTTGTCGTTTTGAGAGTCTGTTTTCCGAGGTAAGTTCACGCTGGCAAATGAAGGGATTCCCACCCAAGAATATTGGAATCACTTCCAATTGCAAGAAGCCTGTTACCATGCTGCCATGTATGCTATGTACATGGTATGTGGATTCGGGACTCTTTAGTCTACCTCTTCCCGGTGTCACGGCGACACGTGGAACTCCTCTTTCGGGCTCCTCTTTTAAGATGCAGCTCATTTTGGTAAGGCTGTACTTACAATATTCCCGTCCGTCCGGTAACCTTGCTTACTCGAGTCGCAACAAGCAAGGCTTTCCATTACTATAACCTATTAGTTATTGCAATATATCGAATTAGCAAGCGGAAGATTTATTAGTATCCGCTGCTCACTATGTTCTAAATCGATATTTTGTTTTCTGGTAAATATTATTACCCATAAAAAAAAGCTTTTCGAAAGCTTCGAGAACTTGCATAGACTAAAAATAATGCGCAATAATTTCCGATCCATTATTTTAGCTTTACATAGTTGCATGTACGCAGGGTCTTACACTAGGTTAGTGTACCTAAGTGACATTAACCGAGTCTTTTTTTCTTTCTTTTTCGTCCCCCTGACATCAACTACCCACATAGTGTATACTAGGTAGTTTAATGTAAGTATCCACTATGAGCCCTATTGTTTATGCTGCAGAAGGATTACCATTCCATTGCAGTATGTAATATGTGCTACTATTATACTATTATAGGTGAGTGTATGCGAAGAGACCCGCTCGATTAACCTTGAACACTTATGTACATACACCGACTTATCGATCCCTGCAACCGCTATTATGTTCCTTTTCGTTTGGCTTGAAACAGCGTCGGCCGAAATGAAAAAAAGAAAGCGAAAGGAAAAAAGAAAACATCGTACGGTATACCTAACCCATCCATGTAACTTGCTTTACCTGTTTAGCCTATCGACCCCACTACAAGACATTTAACCCGCATGAAGCCAGACTCATGTGACAGCGCCGATCGTATTTAGATTCTGAGACAGGAGAGCGTACATAAACTAAGGCTTTTGCTTATATATACATACCTAATGCTCATGGATATTGCTTTTTCTTAAGTTGCTTAAAGGTGTCTCGGCCCAGGTACTTGGGCTCGTCATGCTTTGGTTCGGCAGATGGGCCCATGGTTTCATTTTTTTGTGGAGTTTATGGTAGGGATCCTCAATAGTGTAAGTCACAACATGGGATTGTTTTTTTAAAAAATAAATAAATAAAAAGACATATATATTAACACTTACGTACGGAGTAGCGTTTACTTTTACAATATATTACTTAATACGGACCGACCCGGGAGTCTAGATTGTAAGACTTAGGTATCTAACTTATTCGTAACTCACGGCTTGGCTCGATTCGAGCGTGTTGCTTGTTTCTACGTGCGGATCACGCGGAGTATCATCACCATAGGTAATATCATAGGTAACATACTAGTTTACTATGTATATCCTTTCGCGACCAAACCGTCCCGGTCCGTACACCATGCGGTGCAATCACAAACCACAGTTTCATTCGGGAATTATGACCAATGATCGCCATCCATCGACCGGAATCTACGTCTCCCGAGCAAAGCGCCTGAGCGCTTAAGCCTAACACGGCTCAACCCTTGTAGGTGGCGAAAGAATAACGGGCACCACTATATGACTGATTCGTTTACATAAACTTGTAGGATCGTTAGGGTTGAGAGGCGCGAGTAGGAGGCACGAATTACAACTCAAACAGCCGTTCAGCGAAACCTTATAAAGTAAGGTCAAGCCGAGACGACAGTCGCGATCGAAAATTGATGGCCGGGTCTTGGCATTTGAACCTCTTTGAAAATGTCAAGACCCGGCCATCAATTTTCGATTGAGACTGGACGATCGCTTTTAGAGTCGGACCAAGTCTAAATATGTCATTCCCGAGACTATGGTTTTGGTACTCCAAAATCGAATCGGTAGTGTTGGTTAGAAGCGTGGCTCGGGGGCTTAAAATAAATATTCGACTAGTAACGCAAGCTCTTTATCTGGGATACCTAACCTACCTTGCAATTAAATTTGCTATTGGAGTCGTAGTTTAAGGTAAGCAATAAACGACGAAGGTTTAAAAGAAGTAAAATAATTATTAAATTTACTCCTTAGAGAAAATTTGATCCATAAATCAAGTAACTACCACGAGCTAACCGACATGTTAAACTACAGGTTAAAAAGTCCCTGTCGACGTAAGATATTAACAGACGGAATTCTTCGTAACATCAATGTAATCAAACAACTTATCGTTGATACTTATAATAAAACGAAGTACAACTACTTTTAAGAATATTATTAAAAATGTTAGATTCTTTAGAACTGATCTTAAAATGGGGTCCTGGAAGTAAAGTATTTTATTTAAACTCTAGTATACCCTATCATGTTTCTCTGTTATGTAGTTCAATCTCGACCTTCGGGTCCAAAGTCCAATTCGTCATAGTATCGGTAGATGCCCATCGAATAGTCTTGTCTCCTCTTACTAGCCAGGTACTCACTAATCCTGGGCCGTTCCTTCACGGCGGCATATAGCTTAAACACGTGCGCATACTTGCCCGACTTCTCGGCTGCGGCCATAGCCTTCCTGAAGGCAAATTTAGTGCCGTCAATACACTAGTACATGTTAGCGGCTGTCCATTGACCCGGCTCCTGTGTTAGGTATATGGTGTATAAACGGAAACATTTAGATAGATGGAACGATGAGGGAAGAAATAAGAAGACTCACTTGGAATAGCACCAAGTCTGCATAGGTCAACTGGCCACCGTACAACCACGGGCCTTCTCCGCTTGCCTTACCCTGCAGCACACGTTCAAAATATCCTAGAAACTTGGGGAGACGGGTCTTCACAAATTCCTTGCTCTTCCGTTTCGCTTCCTCCTTCTGGTCCTCGTAGTACAGCCCAGAAGCGATAGGATGGTGGCAATCGTGAACCTCATTACTCAGACCGTCAAGGGCTGTCAGAGCAAGCGCGTTGACCTTGTACAATGCGTCTGGATGCTCCTCATCGTCTTCACTCGGCACCAGCCCAAGCCGGGGCCCAAGATACAACAAGATGTTAGGAGTCTGAGAGATGAGAAGATCACCATGACGGAGGATGGGAGGCGCAAAAGGCGGCGGGTTGAGATCGTCGCCTACATTACCCTCGTCGATCTGTGCGGTTACTTGATCAATGCCCTTCTCAATCTGCGCTGTGTCTTTGTACGTAGCCCCGCCCTCCTCAAGCGCTAGGCGTATATGCTCTCCACGACCGGGTATGCCGGGCCAATATAAAAGCTCGTATGGCACGTCTTTCGATGACTTTTGTCGCTTAGGAGCAGACATGTTGAGCCGGTACAGGTAAGTAGAGTAGTAAGTAGGGAATTGACGTGCGGAAGGCCTGGTCCACGACGATGTTCTTTGATAGACTACTCCAGAAAGCAGTCGGCGTTTGAACATAAAAAGGGGAGGCCGACTAAGGTTGATAAATGCGGAAACTTGGAAGATATATGGATGCTATATCTGAAGAGCTCCGACGGGGTTAGGTGAGCTTAAATATTCAAATAAATATCCAGTGTCTGTAGATATTGCGGCGTCATGAATTCCGGCATAGCCGTGAGATAGAAGATTGGACAGAAGTCTTGCTTGAGTGGATACCTCCTTGCATCTAAACTCCTTGCATCTAAGTCTTGTGCGGGGGAATTATATTGATCGTATGACGTCGAGGGCATTTCTTTACTTTACATCACGCAAGTCTGTACTAAATGCTGGCTTTCATCGTAAGGGCGGGTATTTAAAAAGTAAAGGCACATAATTAAAAGGGTTAAAGCAATTTCCAACGCAATATCGTGCCAACCTGCAAAGAGAAGCGTCATTGTTTATTCAACCAAAGCAGTTCAAGATGAGTTTGACACTGCATCCTGGATGATTTTACGGCACTCGACTGGGTCCGAGAACACATGCCAGACATTACGAGGCACATCTTTGAAGGCCTTCTCGAACCTTTCCGGTTCATTCTTTGCCTCTATGCCGATGGCCGCGATATCTTCAACTTTCCGAATGAGTATCACCTTAACCCAACCAGGGTATGCCCGATAGCTAGAATTCATCCCAGGTCAGAAGTAATAAAAAAAGGCCTAGGTGACGGGAAAACAACCTACATCTCACCATAAGCCTCAGGATCAGATTGGGTCGAATCACCGATACAAATCATCTTCCTCTTCGGAAGCCACGAGTGTATCTTTTCCATTCGATCAATCTTATAATCTTCTGTACCAAGAGTAAGAGTCGTTAGTAAACCCGGTAAACTCATCCAGCTAGCATCACGAAGAATGATGGTGCCGTGCGGATAATTCTTCTCGCGGAAGTCGCGAAGGAAGCCATATAGGTTATACGGCGATGCGGAAAGATAAAACCATGGCGAAGACTTCTGGATAAGGGATTGAATAAACCGGTATAGTTCCGGCATCCCTGGACAGACTGCAGGCGTATCGAGGAAAGTCGTCCGCAGGATACCAATGGGATCACTTGTCTGAGTGATCTTGATTGTGTCGTCTATATCTGTTCTTTGTTAGCGACTCTCACACGCTTGCGACTAAATAAATACCTACCGGATATTATACCCCAACCCTCAGGATCGGCGTAGAATGTCTTCATTTCTAGTATGCCATTGGCGCCTTTCGGGACCTCGGCAGATGTGGGAACAAGGCTACCACCTTTGTTTTCAGGGAGGCTCTTAACATCGTTACTAATGCCATTTCTACCACCAGGACCAAGCTTGAGCGATGTCTTCCCTCCCTGTAACGCCTTGGCCTGAGCACCAGGCTTGATATCCTGCACGAACGGTCTAATGCGCTCCTCGATGGTAGGATAATTCGGGTCATTACTATCCAAATCGATCTTACCGGCGATGGCACTTACGGCATCGATAACGGCGCAAGACGAATGTTGAGAGAAGGCGGCTGAAACAAATTCTGCTTCCCATTTTCCCGTACTCTCATTGCGATAGGCAGTATTATCGAGCAACCAAAGGGTGTCTTCGTTCGTAATAGAGCGAGGAAAGGGGTTCTTCTTGCCCAAATATGAAAAAAGCTGAAGTACTCGATCGGTCGGGGTCGGCGCAGATGTGAAGGGCGAGAAATTGGGCAGGTCGTGTTCGATCTCGTCAAACCGACGCTCTTGTCGCGTACGCTTTTGTATGTCGACCGCGCCGGTATGCCTATAGTGTGTATAGTGTGTAGCCATCTTTGAAACACGACGCTTATTTGGGGTTTTATAAGGAGATAGATTTTGTAGACGGCGTCGTCTGTGATAGTTATAATAGCTATAACTATGAAGGTGGTTCGACTCTTATATATTATATAAACGGCTAGACAACTAGATGACGATCAATATAGCAAGGCTCGGTGAGGTCAGACGCAGAACAGCGGCCTACCCACTCCGCCTAGCCTAGCTGCCTGGTAGCGTCACCAACTCCATGTTGGGGCTTCCCATACAACGCTGCCAGGGCTGCCTCAGCTTGGGTGGTAGGCAGGGAATGGCGCATGGAATGGCGGGTGCGTGCATGGGTATGCGCAACCCTGACGCCCTTTTTATACGATATCATGGTAATATATGATATATAATATACTAGAGAGTATACTATAAAGAGCTTGGTATGATGCGTTCCGAGTTTGGAGTCTCTCTATCTAACAGCTTGGCATCGGTGATCGTGGTTGGTGTTGTCGGGGTATGTCGCAACTGTCGCAACTCCAGTGGTATGTATCGAATGAGAAGGACGGAGGGGAAAAAGAAAGTGTTCCAATTCAACTTGGCTATCGTTACGGTTGACCAGACGTACCACTGTGCCAAAATGAAAGAAAATCTGTAAACTTAGCTTAAAAGGGTAGTCAGCCACAGGTTAGCGCAATTAGCTCGATTTATTGCGGTACTTCGCACTTCTATATAGGAAAAATGAATTATTTCTTATAGATACATGCGTTATAGCGTTATATATGATATGCCTCAAAAAGGTATGTTTATTTTTAACCTTTAAAATCGACCAATCAAATCAAAGGATTCAATTGTCAATTCAATTCAATTTTCAACTAACTACCACATCTACACATTGAAATGACTTTACAGTTTTGGCGATTACAACATTATAACAGATATCATTTAATAGCCTCAATTGATGCGAAAGTAATGATCCAAGTTGCATTCAAATCGGCCTTTTCGTTGTTATGCTATAGTAGAATCAAATAGAGATTATCTGGAGTGGGAAGCACGTGACACCCTTTACAAGCATCTCACCAAATCAAATAGCCTCGTACAATACAGCTACCTGATTGGCTAGCCAGCCAGCCAGCCAGCCTCATATGAATACATAGGTACCTTTCAACCTTACATCAGGACCACGTTTTCAGCCTTTTTACCTCGCAATAACTGCATGCGACCGAGTAAAAGCAGTATAATGAGACATACAGGCCTTGCATCGTAATTGAATTCAATTGATTGAATTGAATAAGAGGTTGTACGAAAGGGTGTAACTAAGATAAAGGTATTGCCAGTAAGGCTCTTTTGAAAGCCTTAACGGGCTACCCCTATCGCTAAATTCAAGATCAACCAATCAAATTAAAGGATTCAATTGTCAACTACACATTCAAATAACTTTACGATTTCAGCAATTACAACAGTATAATTAGTACTATTCTATAGCTTCGATTGATGCGAAAGTAATGGTCCAGGTTGCATGCTTATACGATATGTATTGAGTATTATATTTATATTGAAGTATTCGGAGCCTAGTTGAAAAGACTTCATCGAGGTGCTTGTAAAGGATGTCACGTGCTTCCCTCTCCAGACAAGACAACCGCTATTTGATTTTACTATAACACAACAACGAAAAGGCCGACTTGAATGCAACTTATATCATTATTTTCGCATCAATTAGGGCTATTAAATGATACCAGTTATGATGTTATCCTTGCCAAACTTGTGAAGTTATTTGAGTATATACCTGATATGGTAGTTGAAATACTGGTTAAATCAATATGTCTATTACAATAAGCCGGAATGAGGCTTAGAAGTACACATTTAATATTTTCTAAATGTGGCAAGTGACTTCCTACCAACTTAAGTTTAGTGTGTGATTACTTTTTTTCATTTTGGCACAGTGGTACGTCTGGTCAACCGTAATCGTCAAGGCGCATATGTATATAGGTACATATGTACCTCTTATGTAGAAACCTTGGTGGGGGCTTTCCGCACCACCTACGTAATAGTATCATGTATTGTATTGTACCTAACATTAGGTAATCTATTAGGTACTTATGTACCTAAGATATTGCTTTATACCTGTCCAACCACTTATACATACCTACACCTCTGATAAAAGGCTTGAAGGCCTAGGAATGTTAGCTATTTATACATACATAGGTATAAAAGCTCGAACTTGGGGTCTTTAATACATACAGCTCTAATATTAGCAACACCATCTATTGATAGAGGTATAACTCAATACGTAGGTACATCCTCGCTACCTACTTGGAATATATGTTATATATCACATATCAATAATCACATATACGAATAGAATTGTAGAAGGGTATACGGCTTCTTCATCATACAAAGAGAACATTGCAACACATCTAGATTCGTAGCTTTTGGTATATTTCGTGCGGAGAAGCACCACCAAAGCGACCCAGGATCCCCTTCTATTTAGTAACCTTTTCCTCTACACCACTTAAAGCGCGTGAACTTGAATGATGAGCGTATCTAATCATCCAGTCATTCGAAATTCCATCACGATTAAATAACAAGATGCTCGAAATCCGGTGCAGCGGAACCCCTTACGAGGTATATCTCTGAAAAGCAACTAGTAGCCCATCATCCTCAATATATAGACGACACTAAGATCTTACTAGATTGGGTTTACCCATGGTCAGCTAGCCAAAGAGAAGATAGCAGGGTCTATCGATTTTTATAAACAGCTATTTTGGGAGTCTTGCTCGATGACCTGGGCAGAGGTCTTACAAGAAGCGTCAAAATATCATGACATCCTGAAGAAGATCGCAGCGCGGTACCTTGTGGAAATTGGCGGCATTGCCGATGGGGCGCATATACAGTTTCTAGATATCCTAGCGTTAAACATACGGTCCGAGATAACTTTTGGCCTCTTCTCTGATACATCCAACGGGATAACAGATATCCCTAGCGATGGCTGTACGAGTTTGGGTTGGTCAGCCAAGTCGAAATCCTTCATTGGTCAGAACTGGGACTGGAGGATAGAACAAGGTCCAAACCTCATAATATGCTACATATCACAGCCAGATCTAGAGATTCCGGATATTGCCATGGTGACCGAAGCTGGTATTATTGGGAAAATAGGACTTAATTCCAACGGCGTCGGTTGCTGCTTGAACGCAATTCGCTGCCACGGCCTTGATCGATCCAAATTACCTATACATTTCGCCCTTCGCGCCGTATTAGAATCAAGATCTCGAGAGGAAGCGGTGAAACTGATCAAGTCGTCTGGCGTCGCTGGAGGCGGGCACGTATTGGTAGGAGATGCGACAGGGTCGGTAGGTCTCGAGTGTACGAGCCGTTGGGTGAAGGAGTTACCAATGGATGATAAGGGGCGGGTATGTCATACGAACCATCTTCTTCTAGACAAGTCGGGTATCGACGAGCCGTTATGGCTAGAAGACTCCCCTTGCCGTCTATCCCGAATCCAAGAGCTCGCAGCTGAAATATCCGAGCCAACTCTTGACACAATTTTTGAGGTTTTCAAGGATACTAAGGACTATCCGGTTTCTATCAACAGGAAACAGGAGGTCGATTCCAAAGCTCAGACTTTATTCACGATTGTTATGGATCTATCAAGCAAATACGCGCAGGTCACCGTTGGGAGACCTACCGAGTACAGCGAACGACGATTTCTGAGATTTGTAGATGGCTGAACCCGTTTGCTGTTTGCTGTATCTACTGGTATTAGTATTTATGTTATAATATTTTTATACTATTTTTATGTTCTTCCAAGAAATTCTCTCCCGTTCGGGGATGTAAGATGTACATCATAGGTACCATAGGTACCTATTGGATGGGCCGTGTTATCGATAGCAGGCATCTAGTCCTTAAGCCGTGCTCTCGTCACACGGAGTCCTCGTCATTTTACATACCTAGACCTAACATACCTGTATTCTTATATACCTAACCACATGTAACGGACGACGATCTTGACGACCAACTCTCATCGAGAAGCTGTGTCTTACTCAGTATATATGTAACAGTATATATGTAAGCGTAGTTACCTTAAATATCTACGATGAGTCGCTTGCCAGCGTCTTCAGGTCTCTTACCTATTCCCGGCTCGCCGGCCTCGTCTTGGGCCCTCTACCGGGCTCGACTTGCCTCCATCTTTCAGAACGCCGACACGTCGGTGTTAGCTGCGTTCTGGCTCTTTGGTTTGTGATTCTCTTCTCTTCTCCTCTCCCTAATCGCATCTGCATATTACTGACGTGCGTGTTCCAAGGTTTAATCAACAATGTCTTATACGTAATTATCCTCTCTGCCGCCCAAGACCTTGTCGGATCCGACGTGCCCAAAGGACTCGTCCTACTCGCCGATGTTCTCCCTTCGTTCCTCACCAAATTAATCGCGCCATACTTCATTCACAAGGTCCCATATTGGCTACGTATAATCGCCCTCGTCGTCATCTCGTCCCTCGGCATGTTCATGGTCGCCCTTACACCACCAGATAAATCTGTCGGAGTCAAGATGGCTGGAGTAATATTTGCAAGCTTGTCGAGTGGCGCAGGAGAGCTGAGCTTCCTTGGCCTAACTCATTATTACGGTCACATGAGTCTGGCTGCTTGGGGGAGTGGCACTGGCGCCGCCGGCCTCATTGGTGCAGGATTATACGTCATGTTCACTGATTGGTTTGGTTTCTCTGTTAAGGACAGCCTGCTGGCTTCGGCATTCTTGCCCGTAATTATGTTTATCAGCTTCTTCCTAATATTGCCCAAGGAGCCGCTCCATCAAGACAAGAGGGCGATGGGCTATCAGGCAGTACCGCACCGAGACATAAGGCAAGATGAAGTCGAGGATGACTTGTCAACTATCAATGCTACTTCTAGCCTCCTTGCGCCTGAGTCGGCAATTATATCTGCTAACCTTCCCACGGACGGCATAGATGCTCTATCTAAGCTAAAGTCTAAGGTCCGACGAGCTAGAGGGCTGTTCTTCCCCTATATGTTACCGCTATTGTTGGTCTATGTCGCTGAATACACTATAAACCAAGGCGTCTCTCCGACCCTACTGTTCCCTTTAAAATCAACCCCCTTTAAGGAGTACCGAGATTTCTATCCCATGTACGGATTCTTGTACCAGCTAGGCGTATTCATCTCCCGTTCATCTATCGCGTTCATTCGTATCCGGCACCTATATCTCCCTTCTTTCCTCCAGGTCGGTAACCTGGTGCTGTTAACGCTGCACGCGTTGCTATCTTTTATCCCGAGCGTCTACATGGTTTTCATCGTTATATTCTGGGAGGGCCTACTGGGCGGAGCTGTATACGTGAACACATTTGCTGAAATCATGGAAAATGTGCCAACTGCTGAGCGCGAATTTAGTCTTGGAGCAACCAGCGTTAGCGATAGTGCCGGTATCTGCATTGCTGGTTTTATTAGCATGGCTATGGAAGGGTGGCTTTGCAGCTGGCAGGTTCAGCATGGGAGAGACTGGTGTAAGAAAATCCACGTCGGTTAGAAGCTCGAGAAAAAGAAAGAGATACGCGAGACTTTAATTTGACAATCCCACGTACTTTGTTGGCTATGAAGCTGACTGTGCTACATGTCTCTTGCCACCGCAATAGCAGGAATGTTGCGCCCAAAGGTTTTTATTCCAGGAAGCGCCAGCTTATTCGACACGCCCCGTAAGAGGGTAGTGAATGTTTTCGCTGGGGGTTCACTAATTTCCGTAAATATTACCATGCCAGCTTTGATTCGGACACTGCCAGACCCAGTCCATGTCCATATTCAAAGCAGCACCGTTCCATTGTGAAGGTTGCAGTATCCTAGCGAGTTCAAAAATCAGCGAATTAAAAAGCTCCGAAGTAGAATAAAGCAGTACTGCGTTGGTTTGGTGTCGACTCACATGTCCCATTGCACATCGCCCATCGCATCATCTAAGGGGTAGCTCAAGTTGCCTTGGAAATCTAAGTTCATAGCACTTGCGGGATAATAGCTAGATATTCCAGTCATTCCTTGGTCAACTCTAACGCCGTCGGCTCCCTGTTTTTTATCGTGGGTAAATTCTTGATCCCCTTCTGATTCTTTAGGAATTAAACTCTCCTCGTTAGGTCCGTTATCTCGTTCTCTCGCCTTCAGCTCTATGAGTGACAGACCTAAGGAGAGAATACTCTCCTCGGGAATAATTCCGAGAGCAATTGCAAACTCAAACGCTGCCTTTGCAAACCGAGCGTTTGTTCCGCATACCTCGATCGTTGACATGACCTCGCATAGCTGCCTTACAACGTTCTTCATCTCCTCCACTGTATATTTCTGTATGAGCTCTGGCTTTGCGATTTCCAGTTGGTCTTCGTCTTGGCATAACGAATCTGGGGAAAGCAATGCCAACGAGATATCTAGGCTAGACATATATGCATAGTATATATCTATCCAGGTAGCCCCGTTTATGTGACCTGCGCGCCATAAGCTGATGATCAAGTTCGCACAGCGCATCGCGCCAGTCAGACAGACTTTGCATAATGCTCTTATCTTGCGCGCGTCAGGCCCGAGGGGTGACCCCCCGTTCGCAGATTCGATCGTTTCAAAAAGGAACGGCCGCGTTAAGAAGCAGAGCGTATGATGATACCGAACGCTAAGTAATATGGCGCTTCGCCACTGGTTATCGTTCCCGCCGGAGCCGCCCTCATACGCCAAGGGTTTGAGTCCTTTCGGTAGTGTATCTTCCCAACCCGAGACGGTCTCCAGGAACTCCAGGGCTCGGGCATACATCTTCCCCGGGACAAATCCCGGATCGAATATCCCGCGCCGGACGGCAGCTAGCAGCATATCCAACCGAGCCGAATGCTCGATATACCGAGGAGGGAGAAGGTTTGCGTCCAAATAATCGTCATTTGGAATTCCGACGTCCATTTCTCTATCGTCGATCGCACTAGGACGCCCTAATGAACAGCATAGAAACTGTTCGTAGCCGTACAACGTCCACCAAGTTAGCTTTCGAAGCTGCCTCTCTACCGGATCGAATAATCCCGAAGAACTCTCGCGGTGCATCCCAAGCGCTATAGCTAGTCGACAAGCAGCACCGTGAAACGTCCAAGCGCCGGTTCGGTCGTTGGTATTGTGGTAGTATAGCGAAAGGAGCATATATGCGCGTACGTTCGGGAGACTCGAAGTGCTAAGGAGCGGTGGGAGCTCTTCAACTTTTGAAAACCATTTCCGTTGGAACTCGAGCGACTCGGCATTCTGCGGAAGGGATCGAGATCCTAGGATAAATATCATATACAGACAGCACAGCCATCCAACCGATACAGAAGTGTCTCTGACGTGATTCTTAGGGGTCTTCCCTCTGTGCGCGTCCCAGCAACGCCACATCTTCTCATAAGCGGTTTGGAAAGTCAGCCGATGAAACAAGGTGAAGTTCGGATGGACGCATTGGAAAAAGGCGTTAACGCAGGTGTCTGCTCGCTCTTTGGGGGGCAATTCAAGTTCGGAGACTCGTTTACGATACCTCCAAAATTCAGGGTCGTCTGGATGTTCCTTAAGCATATTTTCGCATATTTGAGGAGGAGAATCGCCCTCAAGATGGTCCAAGATATGACTGGGTAAACTAGAATTACTAGAATTATCTCGTCGTGGGGGAGATGCAGTCGCTCGCCCACGATCACCAGTTCCACCTAGCGAAGCTGCTAACGGGTTGTTGCGGAAGAGCCGTCCTTTACCACTCGTAGAACTGCGGGTTGTCTCCTCAGATCCGCCTACGATCCCTGTCTCGGAAAACCGTTCAACAAATAGCTCACGCATTTTCCCAAAGAAAGCAAGACTTCCGCATGGCCCTATGTAGTGCGGTCGGCCAGTGGCATCCGATATCAAACCGGTAGCCTTAGCGTTGGGGTCTGAAGTACTCTCTGTAGCTTCAGGCGAGAGCTGTGTAGTCGTCGTTGGCGCGAATTTCATAAGATAGGACGGCGGCAATATAGTCTTTTCGTGGTCGGTCCCTGCTATGATCAAATTCGAGCTTCCGATTCCATCCCCCGGGGTTGAGACTGAACCGTATTTATGAAGTTGATATGTGACCGGTTTTATGGGATTCTCTGCCGACGGAAGTCGAGTCTGAGGTTGAAATTGATCAGACGATTCGCCGAAATCAGGCATGACTATCGACCTCTCCTGCCCAAAGACCACCAGTTCCTCCGCGGAGGCTCTGGGGTTTAAGTCTGGAAATATGCCTGAAACCAAGGCCTCGAGAGCCCGGTATCTCTTGTCTAGATTCTCGACGCTACCGTAAACCCGTTGCTTCCGTGGCAACGATGTCACGCACGAAATTCCAGTTTCGACGCATAACTTACAAGGGGGCTGGCCACCGGGCTTTGCTGTATTACCATCGGATCCCGGAGCTGCTTTTAGACGCACACACTTGCACCTCCGCGTTTTACAGGCGTCGCAGCTGACTTGTGTCCTCTTCCGCTGGGAATTTGGAACGCGACGCTTGGCTCTTAACTGCTCCCTTCGCTCCGCACTTTCCGGAGGCGTTCCGAGCGCGATATTATCGTTAGCTATAAATGCAGACGGCCCAGTTTGAGCTGGCGGCGACGGACCCAACAGCGATGTCTCGGGAAGCATACCGTACGGATCGGAGATAGCTGCCGCGGAAGCAAGATGACTCAAGCCATCATGTTGTCCCAGAAGCGGCAGTCCAGGACCGAATCCCGGTACGGTGGGGCCAACCCCGGGGCCGGGTTGAAGGAAATGATGGGGAAGATCTGGTGTCCATGATGATCTTTCTGAGGATGCCAAGCCATCACACTGTTGGGCATTTCCGGACAGATCCATATGCAAGATAAGGCTTGGTAGTCCGGTGTTATAACTACATTACGCTTCTGAGAGCAAGCGATATGTATGTAGATGAAGTGGAATGCTAGAGAAGAACAAGGCATTTGGAACTAGCTATTCATGTAAATCAGCCTAACAATGTGAATATATGCTAGTCCCTACGAAGTCCGGCAAATACAAGAAAGAATATCATCTGAACAGCAATTTCTCCGAAGAAGCACTTCGGCGGAAACAAGTAGAAGCCATGAGAGTCATGATTACATCATTGGCGGTCGTTGACTCTATCACCATGACGCGCGCCGCTTCAGGCTCGCGTAAAATGTGAGCCCCGCGAATGAGACAGGAATACTTGATTTACCCTGTTATTGATTTTATGTCATTGGTGCATCCGAAAAAGTTTGATTGTTGGAACCCAACGGTGAGGATCTGAATAAGGAGTCTTGTTAGCCCATCTGTCTTAGCCTTTAGGTACCGCCCCTTTTTCTTTCAAGTCTTCTTTAGATCGCCAGTCGCCTCCTTTTGCTAAATACCCCTAGTTGCATTTTGCTCGTGAGACTTGTGGTACTTCCCTCTCCCCCCTACCCCCTAGCCCCCGTTGCTCTCTGGGGGTTGGACTCTCAAATACGGGGCCGTATGTTCTTGGACCGCTCTAGCCTGTATAAAACCAGAGATTCCGGAATAAAGTCCAAACAAGGTTTATGCCCGTCATATATTCATCGTAGGGGACGGAAACTACGTGCTCTTAACGTCTCTTTTAGCAGTCGTCGACAAGACAGACACTACGCTTTTAAAGACACTTATTTTATATCTAGGTAGCCTTATGAAGCAATGGGGACCTGTCGGGTCTAGAACGCGATTTATAGATGAGACTTGTCTATTCTTGTATTACTCTTTCCCTCTCCGTGACGGCTTAATTTTATCTGGGGATATGAATACGTCTTTGATCTTGATCTGGAGTATTTTGCTATAATCTCACTTGGCTAAGTATCGGCAACCGGCTCTGAGGCGACAACACCTACCATATCTATGTTAAAAAAAATATGGATGCTCTCCTCCAAGAGAATTCGCAATCTTTCCCATCTTGAGGGTCATGGGAAAGTACAAGACGTTCATCCGAGATCTGCATAGCCCGCTAGTGGTCGCACACGCTGATATATTAGCGAGAAAAGACGTAGAGTTCCAAGTAGACGGCCGTAAGGCTTCGACTATCGGATTATAGAATTGAAGATCGGAATCAGAGATCGGAATCGTAGGGTGTCAGAGACTTCACATGCTAAAGTTCATGCGGAAGTGTCATATATTGGTTGCCAGTACCAATGCCAATGCCAAGTGCCGCAGAAGCCCGCGGGATACCACCTTAAGAGATAAGGAGGTAGAGCAGAGAAAGCAATCATCCAAAGCTAGTTGAACATCTACCTTCCATACCTGTACATTTACCAGACCAGACGGGTCTTCTCTCAGGTAATGAAACAATGCATACCTGTCTATTCAATATGATTAGTATCCAGATTAAAAGTAACTAGTCTTATAAACGAACAATCAGTTTGATCTACCTACCTGGAAACAGATATACGGGACTGAAACCAAGGAGGGGTAGCTCAGAGGATTCGAAGAAAACTACATAGTAATATAGACCTAACCAAAAGGCACTCACCTACCAAATGGCTCTCATCCAGGCCCACTGACCTAACTGACCATATATATAGCGAGCTCCACCACCTCACTAATTACGTTAGGTACTCATCTTCGTCTCGTTTTTATCATCGTCGCTAACACCGTTCTTAACCCGGACCTTTCCCTCCTCCTCCTCCTGAATTTCATCGCCACCCCTACGTCTAAACGCCCTTCTAAGCTCGCACCGGCCCAAACTCTTCCCGCCAGCCTTACACTCGGGACACGCGCGTCCGTGTTCGATAAGCAGAACATGTAAGCCGTACTTGAGCGCGTCAGGCACTCTCGCATCGAGATGCGCAAAAGCCTCGTCGCGAGACGCCGCCGCAGGTCGCCACCCCATCATACCCGTAAGTCGATGAACGTGCGTGTCGACGGCGAAGCTGGCGCGCCCCACGCAGAACAGTAGCACGCAACTGGCAGTCTTAGGCCCTACGCCGCGGAACGAGATAAGTTCGCGCATAGCCTCCTCATCATCTCCCCCAGCCTCGAGCCGGAGCAGATGGTCTAGCGAGTACTTCCCATAGCGTTCCTTAACCTGGTTTAGAATCTCCACAATGACGCGACTCTTAACGCCCCCTAAGCCGCCTCTAGCAATGGCCTTTTCGAGTTTCGCGGGACCGCCCGCTGCGATCGCAGCCCAGCGCTCCTCGGAATCCCCGCTGCCGTATACCTCGTCCATGTCTAGCTTAGCGCGCGTACTATTCTTGTTGCTTGTGTTCTGCGACAGGATAGTGCGCACCAGGGCATCGAGAACCGATGGCGCATCGCCGCAGCCGGCCCTATCGGCTGGCGCGCTTACTACCTTCTCGGGCCGCTCCCGCTCCCCGTGCACCTTTGCAAGAACATCGTAGGCGAGTTGACACTCCTCTGGCGTTGGCCGCGGGAAGTCTGGGTATGGCGACTTATTGGCGAATTGCGCGTAGGATTTTAATTTCTTCGCGCGGAGATCCGCTGTTTTATCTCCCTTTGTTTTATCTCCCTTGCTCTCTTGACTTTTTCCTTTCTTTCTTCCATTTGCGACCTCTTTTCCCGGGCTAGGCGATTCGGCCTTGACCCGTGTAGTAAAATTGGATAAAGGCGATGTAGTCTTCCTCTTTTTCGCCGACTTGGTCAAGGGCTTAGCTTCATCCTCATCTTCATCTTCATCTTCATCTTCATTCTCGTCTTCATTCTCGTCTTCCGACCTAGCTCTCTTCCTTTGCCGGGCCGGTACAGACGTTGCAACGCTCGCAGGTAGATCTTCTCGTTTGATTGGTTTGTCTCCGCCTTTCTTAGTAGCATTCCTCGTGCTACGCCGGAGGGTAGGATGTTTTACTAGGCTATCCGCATCGGATTGGACGGCGGCCTTGGCCATGATAGCGGAGCTTCGGGTAGGTAATGTAGAAATGGTAGGACAATTACCTAGACAGTTAAACAGTAGTTAGTTCGATTTATTTATTATTAACGTTTGTTATGTCATAGGCATCTGTTTTACTAATAAGTGAAATGATAGAAAGTGCGATTAAAACTGTAATGTTATGCGAAATGCGAAATGAGACAGCTGAAATGTAGGTACGTGGTTACCTACAGGTAGGTAGTGGTATTACACTACGCTATTTGCAGTATATGATGTCAAAGATAACCCCAGTAACCCAAGGACCCCTTTTTTTATTACCTATTACATTAGGTACCTAGGTAGGTAGGTACAATTATCACAGTATGTACATCGAGAATTCATACCATTTGGGCTAAGACGCGGCGAGTGACGATACGATACCTTACCACTTATTCTTAGGCTTTACAATATTTCCTATGCCACTGACTGATGAGAGTCTAGACAAACATTAGGTACCTAACCTATGTAAAACATATAATCGTATTCGTGGGCATCAATTCGTAATACTAATACATAATCATTTCCTCCCCACCGTTCCCTGGGTATCCTCATGGGTGGACATGCCTGCCCCGTCTTCTCTAACTGCCTACTAACATGTAATACTTCGAAGTTCCTAGGGTTCCAAACGTCCTCCTCCTCCTCCTCCTCCTCCTCCTCCTCCTTTTCTTTTGTTTATGCCATAACGCCCTACAAATTTCATTACACTCGAGAATCATACATAATACTCTTACATGAATGCTACAGTACGGAGAATGCGAGAAGCGATATCCCGTGCTTCCGTAGGCTCGGTATACTAACATAGTATCTATTACTTCGATTCTGTTCCAACCCAATGCTCCAGTTTGCACTGACCTATTGGTGTTGGCATCTATCCCGAGGTCTCATTAGCGTGTCAACTCCCACATGAAGGGCATTCTCAGCCCATCTTCGTCTTTGAATTTCCTATTCTCCCGAGACCTAACCATTTCCTCTTACCGCTCGCGTTCGCTTGAACCACCGTAGTTGGCGTATTTGGACGCGACATCTCGGCGGCTTGCTGTTGCGGCGTACCGTTAGTTCCTGAGAGGAGCGACATACCGCGGCTACGCATGATTGGGGGAGGTGTCGCGCTCTGAAGATCGTCTTCAACGATACCTGGAGCACGCCAGGGCATGGTCGGTGGCGGGGGGACGCTGTTTCTTCCTGAAGGCTTTACAGACCTCATCGCTGGTGGTATTGCCGATAACTGAGCCGGAGTTGGAAGAGGGAAAGTTGCCTCGGTTGCGGTAGACGGGGCGCTGAAGTTATCAGAGCCCGATTTTCTAAAGAACGAATTAAAGCCTAACCCCCGTCCCTTAGACGTCTGTCCAGAAATTGGAGGATAATGATTTCGCTTTCCCGGCGTCGTTGCTCCTTGTCGAGACTGTGCTCTAATGGATGACGCAGGTGTAACAGAGTCTATACTACCACTCCTACCTCTCCCGTCGATCCACGCCGTGGCCATACCTATAGCAGGATTTCTCTTAAACATCCCGCCAGATGAAGGTATTGCGCTAGTGCTACCGGTGCGAGCATGCAGACTCGATCGTCGATCAGGAGTAGGCGGTGCGGACCCCATCACTGAAGGCTCGAATATTTCTGTTTGCGATGTTTGCAATGAGCTGGCCATTTCATCGATAGGATCACGTTTCAACGCCGACACTGGTGAACCAAGATAGCCACTACCTTTTAGAGCTCCAAAGATAACGTCCGTTTCCCAGCCTCTCGCGTCGGCGGGGAAAGAGAAGAGATCAGGAGATGCAGAACGGCCGCTTCCGCGCTGTTCTGACGAGCCTGCTTGATATATGTTCGGCTTCATGCTCTCCCTCATCCAGTAATCAAAATCATCGGTTTCAGAACGGGCATCTGCGCCACCGTCTGAGTCCGAGTCCGATCCTAAACTAGCAGCCCTGGCACGGGAACTTGTAGTTTCGGCTGACGAATGAGGCCGTGGTGGAAGGGATCGTGCAAGCTGCGTAAGGTCAGAGAACGTATTAGTGTTAATATTCGGCGTTGGCATTTGCCTGTGGCCGGAGAGTGCTGTAGTCGGTCCACACTGATTCGAGGACGGCAGGTAAGGAAGTTCTCTACCAAAAGCCCCAATTCTATCGTAAACAGACATGATGCCATTACCCGGGACACCTCTTGTTTGCTTTGTAAGACTATCTTGAGAACCAGTAAAATTCTGCTGGTTTCGAAGCGTTGACGATGAGACGGTATCAGGAGTGGGAGGAAAGGCTTGAGGATTTGAGAAGTCCCTATATGTGGGATAATTAGTGAGGACCTTTTCTAAAGCCTCTCTCTTCTCCTGTTTAGTCCTGCCCGGCTGGGGTGGATTCATAGAAGGCTTTGCAAGAGTCGGAGTTACGGTACCTCGACTGCGGTTGGATACAGGTTGCCTAGAATTATCGTTGCTGGCCATCATTTGCTTGTCAAGTCGCTCAATCTCCTGTAAGGGTGAAGTCAGGCTGATGACATTGTTTATAGGCCGCGTACGAGTCGATAATCTAACACCTCCACCTGGTGTACCGGGTGAGCCCGGAGGTATCTGACTTGAAATTGCATTCCTTTGGCCGCCTCGACTCTCGTCATTCATCTTCATCGTTGGCGTCGGAGAACGGTCACAATAGCTGCCATCCATTCCTACCACATCTGCCGGAGGCTGTAAACCTGCCCTGTCACCTGCATCCTTGGCGCCGTATATGCTAACAAAGGAACTCTCGCTGAGTACGCTGAGATTAGGACTAGCGATACGATTAATCTCGCTAGGATCAGCAGTCGACTCAGAAATTTTGCGCATATGCATTGCACTAGTTCGTCCTCTTAAGACCGCGTTGCGCAGATTCTCGGTCTGTTGGCTGTGCTCGGAAAGGAAACTAGGTACTCGCCCAAGGCTATTCACATGTGCGGTCAAACGCGGTACGCTGAGGTTTGCTTCCTTGGGGATATTAACTATAGGGGCGGTAACAGTCGTGGCAGATTCAATATTAGGTTGATCCGATGAAGAATGACGATATGAGCCGTCAGCCTCAACTCTTCTAACCATCTCTCTTTCTCGAACCAACTCGTCGATTCGAGTTTCTAGTTCCACTATTAGCGCAACAGCCTCGGCGAGGGCATCATCCTTCATGTCCAGTTCGCGGATGATGTCTTCATGGAGGTTTATCATTTCTCCGTGTTGAGACTCGAGTTTCTCAACTCTCTCTTCTAACGCTGTCTGCTTCTCTCGTCGATGATATAGCTCCAGCTTGAGATCAAAGTTCTGTTTATGCAGTGTTGACAGGGTCTTCCCATTTAAGTCAGCTGCCGAGTTTAACTTTCTAGAAAGGCGCATGTTATTGTGAATTTTTCTTACCTGTTCCATTTGCCTTGCTCCCATCCCTGCATCTTTGGCCAATTCATCGCTATTATCCGACCACTGTCGTCGTCCTACAGAGGTGGCACTCCTCTTAATAGGTGAGCTCTGCACATCCCTATCCCGGATATCGCCGGTAGAAGCGCTCAAGTCGGCGCTTAGTTTGCTCGCATGTCTTTCGTTTCTCTCTCGCTGTAACCGTTCTTGCAGAAAGGTAGAGGCAGATGCTGTCGGTTCTCGTAGCTCATTACTAGATTCCCTAGATAATCGTGACAAAGGTCGAGTACCTATCGAGTTTCTGCTGCAATGGCTATGGTGATATTTATGTATCGGATGTGAACCTGTATGGGAAGTTTCTCGTGGGTACGAAGAGGTGCTGTTTGCACTTTTGGATGTCATCTGGGTGTTCGCGGTACTGGCACTACTAGACCGTGAAGGCGCGCGAGAATACAAACGCTCGCGTGAATCCTTCTGACCTCCGCTACCATCCATAACGAACAATATTGTAATATTGTTACGTACTCTTTGCGGAGGGAAGTATGGCGATAGTAAGGGCGACGAAAACAATTGGCGACCCTATCGCTTGGAATAATCTCATCTAACCGCGTAGGAAAAGAGCAGGCAGAATTAGAAGTACGAAGTAGCGATCACGTAATAACTGAGACGATGAGCTTCTGGTAGATAGGTAACGAGGTGATTCGATTCGTAAAATATGAGGTCGAAGGTGGGGGATTAAAGCACAGTATTTTGTTCTGTTCAAGGAATTGGAATTGGAAGATTCGATATCGAGATGAGACTTGGAATAATGTACAGTACGATGGATGGTGTATTTCATACGATGTATGGAGAATCGAATCGGGGCTCTCAAGGACCTAGGATAGGAGGCGCCTTCATCAGTGTTCGAGCAACTCAACGGCTCGAGCGTCTTAATGCAATGACAATTCGCAAGTGATTGGTAGATCTAAATCTCTACCAATGTTTTTGTTATGCTAATAATAACAACCGTTGAATTGCTGTTGCTCCACAGCCGCGTAGAAGATGATTTTCAGCTGCAAAAGCTTCAGCTGCAAAAGCTTGAAATAATAAAGCTGCTTCGATCTAGAATCACAGCTTATGAATGCGACCGTTTACCCAGAAAGAAAAAAGGCAAAAGGCGTTTACAATAATTCAAAGAGGTAGAGAACTCGGGATTTGTTGTCACACCAATAGAAGAATATGTCGAGATAAGAGGTTGTTTTGTCTCAGGGAAATAGGCGCATAGTTGACTCGTTTAAAGAATCAATAAGAATAGAATTGATGCCGGAGAAAACAATGATGATGAATTGAATAAAAGGCCAGTTGACAATGCTCACAATGTTTCCAGGGTAATGGAGATTAAAGAAGGCATACAATTTCTATCACCCGGGCGATTAGGTATAGGATGAGGATCTCTCAAAGGGGTATGACGAAGCTCACGATGATAGGATCAATCATGGGGAATTAGGAAAAGAAATCAGAAAGAACATGTGCTAATTTCGTCCCTAAGAGCTATCGATAGTGTAGCTGCTTCATCTCCGTAAGTACAGACTGACAGAGTAGTTCCCCTGTAGGGAATGCTGAATGATGCATCTAAGACCCCTGTTTGGTCCCTTCGCGTCGGGATCTCTTCAAGCTAATGCATGTGTCTAAGGGGGGGACCTGCATATCAAGGGTTATCATTACTACAAATAGCTAAGGCCCGTTTTAAAGGTTATGCTAACTGGCTAACAGGCTAGGAACAAGGGGTGAGCTCAAATATTATGTAGGTAGGTAGGTAGTTTTATGCTGGGCTGGCTGGAACTGCTGGAGAGGCATGCCGATTTCGATATTCTAACCAATTGACACCAATTGACACCAATTAGTAAAAAGCCCTGGCCCTGTTTTGGTTACAGCCCGCCGTGAGCCGGGACTAGGTACTCAGTAAACCTGGCTTCCATAATGCTGGGAAAGACTGCGATTGGTCGAAGCAGGACATTTTCACAGGGTTCGTACAGGGTAGTTTAAAAAGTGATCGTTTCCGACAGTTACAGTGGGCTTTTTCTTTCTTTCTTTTCCACAGTGATGTGACATTCAACACCATTGGATCATCACTGTTCGAAGCCCCTGTGCTGAGCGCCTCACGTTTGTAAGACAGGTACCTATGCAATTATATATGATAGCCTACTTTACAAGCCAAGGTAATCTTTCTCTAAACTCATGTCAGTACGATGAAAAATCATTAACTACCAGGTAGATCGTGTATATCTTCAAGTTTCGGTAGATCGTAAAGGAACCCATTCCACATACCTAAGGTATCCATTCGATGCACTTCCCCACGATGGCGCGAGCCTTGACCCTATCTATTATGTACATACTGGAGATGGAAGTCCACCCAGTGGGACCTGTACTCCGTTCCAGATGTCGTCATTGCCGGGACCACTAACTTGTCACCATCTCGGTATCATCATCGTAAGTTAGATGTGAATCAGATGTGAATGTGATCGTATTACACTTCTCCTTAAAATTTCCTTATGCCGTATCCTATCCATAAATGAGCCGGGCAAACCTCTCTATACTTACTAAACTAAAAGGACATGAATATAAGATTGGCATCCAAGAGAGGTAATAAAGGGATAAGGGATGACCCAAACACCAATATCATAACTAAAGTCTAACAATTCAAAATTTTCGGCTTATACATCCAATCCCCGGCGTCAGAACTTACGTGGTTCAGCTGCCAAGCTAATAACAAACAGCATGCAAGTTCCAATACTCCCACCATCGGGCAAATTGGTCGTAGGAGGGTATTACAAAGCTTATAGGGGCGACGTGGCAATCTGCTCGCAAGATTTCTACCCATTATCAATGTATCCTATTGGTGATCTATGCGGCATGACGAGAGCATATCGTGGAGTGTGTGTCGAAATATCGTGGATGTTGATATGCCATCATTGAATCAAGTTGACATGATGGATCGTTGATTTGATGTCCGGCTGCATAAATCAATATCCTGTCTCTACACCCACACTACATACATCCATTCAGGAGTCTACCGATAACTATAATCCCAAGACATCATTTGACCTGTGAGGCTATTTGTCATATTCTGAGAGAATACTACGCGATTTTCTTTTTTTCGGCGGAGGGTTCGATAGCAATAGGGAAGTAATCCAACGATCGATGCTATTCTCTAATCAACAAGACAGGTCCGGAGTTAACTACTACCTAATGCCGTATGTCTTATAAGGCGTGGTATGCTAACCTCGTCACAAATTAACAGGTAGATTACCAATCATATATGTTTAGATATTTCATCAATGTAATAAAATAATGAAGGTGAAATCCTATGAAGAAACTTCCCGCTCCTTCGAGTTATCAAGTGACGAGTAAATCGAGGAAGTATATTTTAATCTATACCTCATTTAAAGAGGATTCATTAATCTAGCCACGTTGACACCGAATGGGCGGGATCGGTAGACTTAATTTTAGCTACCTATTCGAGTGCCCAATGTATGCTTTTCAAATAGTTAGTCTGTCATATTTCCAATTCCCAAAGTTTCTAAAGAGACATTGCTAATTCGACCAGAGGATTGCTTTCGGCTAATACGTAGCAGATAATATAAGCCAGGACTGTTTTCACGTAAGCTTTTCGTTTAACCTCGCGGTACCATTAACGCCAGCGTTCCATCTATGTATGTATTGTACCACTTCAATAACACGAATAGACAACATACTAGCTATTGGTAGGAACGTAGAAACTGATAGATGAGGCCATTAGCCTACTCACCTGCTCATCGAATGACTGCTACCGCGCCCCGACGATCCATGTTGCCTCCCGTAACCTCCCTAGACAATGCAAACGCTAACTTCCCTAGGACTGCGGAACGAATGGTTCTTTCTAACCAGCCTGCTTGGACGCTCTCTCCGCGCTGGCTTAGTCCCACCTAGTCTCATTAGGCCCGTCTTGAGGGCAACGGGACCGGTGAGTATCAAGTATTAGTTGTGTCACGTATCAGTGTGTGTTGCTGGCCCGCCGTGGATGATGTATTTGTGTCCCCGTCAAGTGTAGATAACCAATCTAAGATGTAGTGCAACCCAACAGACGTCAGCATGGCCAACATAACGTAACTCTTAAGGGTCAAACACTATAGGACATGATAGGATATCTCGTAGGGTTAACGGTCTTGTTCCAGGATGCTGAAGATGAATATAATTAACCCTACCTACGTAACGCCGTTTGCTATGCCAATAACCAGTATTTCACAGTTCCTCCTTGAAGAATTTTTCCTCGCTGCCTGCTTCCTTGTTTTCGTCATCATCATCATCGGACTTCTTAACTTCGTCAGTATCAACTACACTGTGAATCTCCCGGGCGTCCCCTGGAACTTCGACGACCTCGAGCTTCCAGCCCCTGTCCCCTGCTAGCTTTTGCAGCTCTTTCCTCAGTTCCTCGATCATTTCGGGGTTGAGATCTAGCTTGGCTAGTTCCTCGTCAGTGAGTATTTCGACCTTACTACCTTCCTCTTTACTGGCTCCCTTGGCCACCACCTCGACTAAAGGAGGTATGTTGGAGCTTCGGAAGTTTCGTGGGGGAGCTAGCTGGTGTGCAGCTTTTCCGTCTTCTCCCCGTCCGAGCATCTGCCGCCCTCCAACCACGATTCCACCAATAGTGATGGGAACTTTCGCCTCTCCTCTGGCTTGGCCTACCATAGCCGACTGCGCTTCTAGCGTCTTTTGCGTGTGCCAATCTGCCTCTTCTGCCTGCGACACGATGGCGCGACAGCTAATAATATTCGCCTTCTCTTCCTTAGGTGGTTGAAAAGCAACGTCTACACACAGGCGAGGGGTATGGACTACCATAAGGTATGCGCATGTTGTCACCTCTTTGATCCAACCAATACGATCCTGAGTGCTGCCTGGACTGCAATGGTATTGTATTTCGATCGTCCGTTCCCGACCAGTCAGATCACATATGGTGCCATCTGCCATTCTCTGAACTAAGTACCGCTGGTCGCCCTTGACCTGGAGTTCCGTATTCGGCGGCGCTGTAGTAGCAGGTTGTCCCTTGTTACCCGCGGCTGCGGGTTGTCCGCGGCGCGAAGAGCGTGTGGTGGAGTGCGGATCAGTAACTCTTCCAAGGACGTACTCTGCAGTGTTAGGGTCCCTCATGGGGGGACCGCTCTTGACGCTAGCGGGAAGCGCATGGAATTGCACAACGTCACGGCCATAGCAAAAGCTATAGCTCCACCAACCAGACATGTAATAAAGACAGTTGCCATCAAGGCCGTTGATGAGATCCCAGCCGTGAGCCGAAGCCCTTGCGAGTTCACGGGCCTCCTCGGCCTTGGCTAGCTCGGTAGCTGTCTTGTTGGGCGCGGGAGGAGATTCAATAACCGGTATGGCACATAGGTAGCGATGAGGAGGGGCGGTCATGATCTCGTAGGACTCGGCGGGATTTCGGTCGCCGTCACCGAGGCTGCTATCAGCGTCGGCCCCATCTTTAGCAGGTTGTATATTGGATATGATATCGGTCTGGCCTGGCAAGTTGGCATCGTAGTTGGTGGGAGAAGGGCTAGCTTTTTCAACTAAGGCCTGCGCATCGGTTTCTGATATGTACGATT